AGCCTGCCCCTTCCTGGAAAGGACTGCTCGTGAATCTCCAACGTTAGCTACCCACAGATGTCGACAATTTATGACAATTGCCGTAACAGCAGTGGATCCACCTCGTCCCAGGTCAGGGTTGTGCGACAGAATTGCCTCATCGGTTCTCTCATAGGCTTTAGCAATAGACCTATTTGGATCCGTCCAAAAGTCCTCCTGCATAACACCGGTGGAAGGAGAAACCCATCAATGCCTAATACATGACACAGCACTATTGATAAAGTAGTTACTAAGTTCATGTCATTTATATAGTAGTCCAAACAACTTAAGAGAGAGAGTGCACCGAAATAACAAGACCAAATTGCTGTATGTGAAATGTATGCAAAGACGAAACTCATATTTTAGCACAACAGAGTTGACCATCCATACAGAAGGCAAGCATATAATAGATATGTGTTTAAAAGGTTTAATGATTAATCCCCAATGGGAGCATGTCGGGCTAAGCTTTTATATAAGCACAGTTTTGCTCCGAAACATGTTAGGATAACTTGTATTGATCTAAAACTCGATTTTAAAAACCTCGATCCTTCTAAATTATGCAAGTAGATTATGAATTATGATATAGTAGCGCCTCTGATGGCAGTTTATAGTGAGAATTAAGAAGATGGTGCTCTCGGCAATACTTTGGTGGTGATAAGTGACACATAGAAGAAGGAAAAAACAAGGTTGCCTGCGAAAAGACAGAGATTTGACTCTGGTTATTATCAAATCAACTCAATGCAAGATGACACTAAGCCCCTGTTCGACATCCATTTTAGATGATTTTTGGAATAGTGATTATTTGGAGAATGTGTCGTTAAAAACACAATGAAAAAGTTTTGGATTTAAGTGTAAAATATTTTAGTATGTGAATGTGTGATTGAAAATGAGTTTGAGAAAAAAGAGTTTTGATTTAATGGATGTCAAACAGGGGATAAATGATATAGGACGAGTCTGACCCTTCAAAAATGGATACGACCCTCCAGCAGCATGATGTGGGTCCTATGCACAAGGTTAAAACTAATATTTACTAAAAATTAACAGATGCGCCTCAGAGTATTTTCCAGTTGTGATATATAATTATTCTTAAGTTCAACTCATATCAGTTTTTTTATGATCAAATTTATGTATAAAATTTTCAGATATTCTTATTCTCTCTCCACCCCCACAACAAATTCCCATTTTCCTTTTGGGGATATCCCAATTAAAATGTCACCTATCCTTTTAATGGTAAAAAAAATCTTCTGTACCAAAAACCAGGATTCAAGCAACATTCTTGAATAATCATTTAAATAACAATTTTTAACCGAAAAGAACTAAAGAGAAACTTTGAAAAGCTCATACAGTCAAAGTTATGAAATTATACCATCTATACATTAGTTATTTAAAATCGTGCTCGTTTCAATATATAATACACACCATACTAAGCTGTCAATCTCATGATATTTCATTTAAAGAAACAAACCTCCTTTAAGATATTGGAAAACAGATGCTTCTGTAAGTAAGCTGGCACAGTATCTCCCAAATGCCCATCATAAATGGCAAATAGTCCTAGTTCGCGACCATGAAATTGTATAAACTTAGCAACATGAAAATCCTCCATAGGATGATTTGCTTTTCCTTTTACTAAACTGAATCCATACTTTGCAGGCCCCTGATGGCTTCTTCCCTTGCCAGAACCACTTGAAGAACGTCGTCCTCCAAGCTGAAGAAAAAGAGGAGCCAAAACTTTTAAAATCATGTGAAAACATAACAAGATGCATTCCACGTGTAAAGCTAAAGTGGTTATAGAGAGATGTAGTTTGGTGAGAACAGTACGACTTGCAGCAACCAGTTATCGAAAGCATTAAACCAATATGAAATGAAACAATTTTACTATAAAATTATAATTCCACGGTTCTAGCATCGAAAGGATCATAAACCCTCAATAATTTGACGAACACGAGGAAATGAAATAATTTCCCGTCCAAAGATATGCCAATTTACAGAAAAATAACGCAACCATACTTCAAAATTCATCAAAAATACTAACAAAAAAGGGGAAAACCCCATTTTGATTTACCCCCAATTGAATTAAACCAGAATATATACAAATTACAAGTATCATCTCAAAATTCATGGGATCATCAGCCTTCTTATGACCGAATTAAGACAAACAAAAATGATACACAAAGCAGAAAAATAATGAAAACCCAAATAAATAACAGCGCGAAAATCCTCACCTGGAAACAGCATAAATTATCCATATAATTCAGATGTTCCACCTCTCCAAATCAACATCTACTATAAACTCCCCAAAATTGAAAATCCAAAACCTGTAAAATCAAGGAAGATGAATCTTGGTCATCATAAACCACAAACCCACCAAGAAAAACACAGTAAAAATTTAATTCATCAAAGAACCAAGATTTTTTCAACAAAAATCGAAACCTGGGTATCCCAGAATTTCCACACTCACCGATCCACCACTCTTCAGATCAAGAATTGGCTATCTTGCCGACTTAATTTCTATACAAACTAGTGAGGTCTATACAAACAAAAATGAAAGATCGAAAAATGGAAAATATAAAATCAAGAATGGTAGCGGGAATTGCTGCCAAAAGCCAATCTTCCCCTTGTTGACTTTGGTGTGTAATAATGTTACGGGTCTGAAGCACTGTTTGTTTGATTTTGTTTATTACAGCTGTGTTTCTTGTTTTAAGGTGTCAGGTTCCTTACAAGTCGAGAAAAAGAAGGCTTCATACTGGTCAAATGTACTGCTTTTAGGAATAGGTGGGGTTGATTTTGGGTCAGCCATCAATCCCGAAGAAAGGGCCCTTGATTTTCCTTCTTTTCATTTCTCTCTCTTTTTTCCCAAGGAAGGATTTTGCAAAAGGGCTAAAGGGTGCGGGAGCAAGAGATTTTACAAATGAGTAGTTAATTTTTAATTGTTATAAGTCATCTAATAAAAATTTAAACGACTTCGTGCATTAACTTTGCCAAGATTCGAAGTTCACTTTTTTTTTTGGTTCGGTATTGTATTTTTCATTTGGACGAGGAAAAAACAGGGAAATAAATAGTCGATGCCTGTTATCGGATCATCAACTTCCTTGATCTTTTAGCATTGTGCAAGCGTCAATTCTTTTGAGCAATTGATATATCAAGTCTTATAGGTCCTTATTTTCTATTGAAAAGAAAATTATGGGGGTGTTTGAGCTCCATTATTTTTTAAGAATATATTTTGAAATAGTAGATTGATAGAAAATATATGATTAAAAAGAAAGAAAAGTTTTTGATTTGCGTATAATATTATTTTAATAGAAAATGTGTGGTTGAAAATAAGATAGAGAAAAATGTATTTAAAAAAAATGATAATCAAACCGAGTCCGTATATAGTCCCTGCTTGTTTTGATTAAAAAAATTATTTTTTTAAGTATATTTTGATAAAAATTGATAAAATGTATAATTGAAAAGTTGATAAAAATTATGAGTTCTATAAAATGTATGATTATAAATGAATTTATAAAAAAAAATTAAATTTTGAGACCAAATAAGGACTTAAAGTGAGAGTGAAAAATAGATAGTAATAGAATCAAAAGACATGTTTATATTTTTAATTTTCTAGCGATGAATTTGATAATATTGAAGAAAAGTATTACTCCCTCCGTCCCATATATATATGCT